TAACTGTGCATGTTTAGAAAGGAGTAAACCCTATTTTTTTGCACCAGATAATAAAACAAGAGGAGGACTTGAAAAAGTATCTGCTTTTTTGCCTAATGATACCTCGTAATATCACCTTTCAGCACTGACAAGAGCTTCAGGGTAGATGCACACCTGCACTCCCCACAGTCAAAATTGCTAGGCTGTATCAGCCTCTCTTAAGTCCTTTGAACCTTTCACAAAGGGCTGACCTGCTCTGTTGTGAGTAACAGCAGCAAGTCTTTTTCCCAGACAATCAGTGATGGGAACACATATGAGTTTTAGTCTGTTATTCAATTTTCAATGCATTTATTTCTGTCTCAGGCGCTGAAGTATTAACCAACATGTCCGTTAACCTGATTGCATTTGGCGGATGAAAGACCTGTCATGGGGGAAGTTTATTTTGATGAATAAAGATAAATCTGAGTGGCATGTATCAACCATCATCTCCTTTATAAGCCTTTCACCTCTAGTTTTTACTTTTAGTGATCAGTGAGGTAAAACATCATGAATTAAACTAGGATACGTTTCCAGAGAGAGGCCTTTTCACTGTTGATTATTTCTCTGGCTGTGTGATTTAAGAGAGTAAAAGCAAAAAGGGAAGCATGTATTCCCTTTTGGTCATGGCAATGATGCTTTATTATTTTATTTGACAACATTGTGTAAAAAAAGGTACTAAAGGATAATAACGGCAGTTTAGAGTGAGGAGTTGAAGGAAAGTGCAAAAAAGGAGAGAGATTTCTGGTGAAGTAGCAGAGGCAGTAAAATCCTAGTGGTGATGCTTTTTCTGTGTGATTTTTCAGCTCAAGCTGCTGAATTATTGAAAATATCAACTTTTAAGGATGAGTCTTTTAATTAAGAGTTTTACTTTGATTTCTTAAAATGGGGATTTGTGGTTAGGATGTAAGCAGCCATTATTTTCCAAGTAGTGTATAACCCTCTGGATAGAGCTGTGTTTAGAAAAACAACAAAAAAGGAAATTCTTTTAATTTTAAGCTAATGATTTGCTGGTCTAGAGCCTGTTATAAATTAAATGGTTACCACCCTTAAAAGATTTAACTTTAAATAAATAGTATTCAAATGCTATAAACTTTGGCTTTAAGATGATGTTACTGTGTTTATTACATGAAATATTTGACCTTGATGTTTTACATTTTGCAAAATGATTTTTACTTCCTTTGTCTACATTATGTAGAACAGATGACGGACAATCCATGTTTTTAAAATTTAAAGAAAAAGGACATGGAATGGTAAAGTTTATTGCCAAGTCATAATTCACCGATTTGAAAAAAGTTTGAGAATTGGACCTTAAAAATGGTCATTTGGCAACATGTCATTTGTGAAGGTATAAGAAAATACAACCATGGGCACAAAGAGGAATGGATTATCTTATAACCATTTGAGACCAGCTGAGGACCTACATAAGTGTTAGGAATCCAGTTTGTGTGGATTGTGTTTTTGTGTTATTCTCTCCCTCCACCACCAGGTGGCGCCCGGTTCTCGTTGGTCCTCCCAAACACCTGCGGCTGGTTGGCTTATTACTGAGGACTATTTGAGCGGTGGACTGCCACTACCTCAACGCCAGAGTGTTTGCCAGTTTTGGATACTCTAGCCAAGCTGAGTTTTGCTGAGCCTAACCTTGTCTTTGTCTTTGCCTTTTCGGTAGGAAGCTTTCCTGCAAGCTGGATGTTTGGCCTTCTTCCCATGGAAGGATTTTTTTTTTAGCCTCACACTGAGCAGGGAATTAACCTCCACAAGTTCCGTTCAAGCCCCCCTGGAATCCCAAGTGACAGTCCGCTCAATAGTTTCTCAGGATCCAACCAAGTCTTAACCTGTCCGCCCTCCAAAAAGTCTCTACCTCTGAATAAACCCACACTGACCGGATTCTGGGAGAAGAGGTCTTCTCAATCAACGTGAGTCCTGTTTTCTCTGTCTCTCCAGCCATCACTCAAAGTTCCCACGGATCCTGAACTAACCGCTGATAGTTCCCGTCCCTCTTCCAGTTACGGTTCACCAGCACACTGAGTTTCCTGAATCCAACCCCCGCTGTCCTTATCAATAAACCTGTTCAAACTTTTACCCCTGTTCTCTGAGTAGTTTACTGCATGTGGGTCAATCTCTAAAGAAAATCATGACAATAAGGTATCCAACTGGCTTTGCTGATACTGTTTGTATTTAAAATCTATTTTGAAAGGTATAAGCAGCTTTTACTTGTGTATCCATCAGCAGCTGTTGCAGATCATAAGATAGTTCTCAATTTCTTTGAATACTACCCAGAAGCAAGGACGTTTTTACCGCTATCGCACCAGCTGGCCAGCAAATTCTGGAAACCTGCTTTATATTTCTGTCAAGACATTATAATAAAACCATCACTCACTATATTCAATTTACCAACTTTCATGCAGCTTGTTTTTTTTTTTAATCTATCGTTCAAATTTTGGATGTGAAACAGCAAATAAGTAAAATTAAGACTGTTTTTTTAGACTCTTATTCCAGTATTCACCCAAGGAATTAACTTGAGAAATATTTTTGGAAAGTTATGACTTACTTCCCTCCAGGGGCCAACACTTGGACATAATCACAGAACTGGTTCAGAAAATATGCGACTGACCTTGTTCTGGAGTCCTAACTGAAATTCTGGCTTCACACAAATTAGATTTTTTATGCTTTCAACTTCTCAAAACTGTCCTACATTTAAAAAGAACATACGTGAAAGATTCAGTTATTTCAACATTTACTGCAAGGGATTTCGTACATATAACTCTTCATCCTTGATTTTATTCCCTCCTTCCCTTGCTTTCCACACCTCAATCAAATCCCGTTCCCCCTCCAACATTCTGTCTAAAGCAGAATTACTCCTGCCTGTTTCCTTCTCCTGTCTGTTGCTTCAGATTTTTCGCATGAGAACATCCCTACTGGGATGGATTTACAAGCAGGCTGGGAGCTATGAATTCAGCCGTTTATTCTGTTATCTTGCCGCGAGCAGCAGAGCGGAGTGAAAACTGACCCCGGCATGAGAATGCAGTTTTGGAGAGCTGAACTTTTTCTTGTGTGGAAGGCTTTTTTAAGCTAAAGCACATTTTTTAAGGAGAACATTGATGGCACTTCAATATCCCATTAAAGTGAAATACCTTTTTTTTTTTTTTTTTTTACAGTTTACCTCACCTCTCAGTTTTTAAAAGTTAATTAAGAATTTTAGCATTACATAAGCTACATTACAACCTTGCTATAGGCTGGTATATTGATAATGCATATCTAAAGGCTAACTCACTAAAAGGCATCGGTCGACAACAAGTTATACCGAAGTTCAAAATGCTTCAAGTTTTTCAGTGGGTTTAAAATCCATGAGAAATAATAAAGCAAACCACTGAGCTGGGAACAGGACAGAAGACTGGAGACAATCAGGTTAGAGATGAATGAAACAGAAACTAGATATTGGGAGGAGTAGTTAAAGGAAAAATTAGCTGGTGGGTGTAATTGATTAATAAGCAGCTACTTTGGTATAAATGACTATGAATTACATAAAAACTACATGTATACACAAAAAGCGGATTCCAGGAGAATATGACTAGAAAACCAAAAGCAAACAACATGGATGATCTAATGAACACTTAACATAGCATGAGTAAACACCACAATCCAATATCCTGTCACACAATGTCACTACATGGCAAAGTTTTCAAACCCCTTTTAAACAGAACTCAATTCAATGTTTCTACTGCATTTGCACCATATTCTTCAGATCACTGCTGCACTTTATAAATTGACATATTCATTTCACTGTTGTAAGCTACTCATTCACTTTTGAAATCGCAGTTTCGTTTTGTATACACTCTGTTTTTGCAAAATGACAATAAAGTTTGTCTAAGTCTAAGTCTACAAATATAACAAATAAATCTATAAATGTCATCTATTCTATATTTTTGGTATTTATGAAAAACAAACAAATGAAGAAGATATTTATATTTTTTAGGTAAAATCATTTTGAATATATCAAACAATGTTTTAGGAAGTTTTTCATTTCAGTTTAATTTTGTACATGAATCCCCATCACCATAAAGCACGGGTGTGTTTACTCAAGGGGATTGAATCCTGAGACTCTTATGTTGTCTCATGCTGATTGTTAGCTGGTAATGAAGAGTTAATTCTGATGTGTAATAAGTCCAAGAGAAATCTAAATATGTAGAAAATATGAAACAGCCTCTCTTTTAGTTACAACTAAAAACAATACAAAGTCAAGCAATGTCTCAGCCTTCTTAATCCATCAAGCCATTCAATTAGAGATGCAGTCTGTTCATTATTCTGCAGTGCAAACAAAAAAGACACACCTGGATTGGAGTTAAGGTCCATGGAGAGCATATGAAGACCTGCCCCCTTCTCAACTTGGGCTTGAGGGTGCAAAATGCCACACTCTGCTGACCACTGCCCCCCAGATGCCACTTCTTCATCTGCTACTGTTCTAAGCCACAAATAAAAAAGGGCTATCTTCTCTGGTTTCCTCTTAAATGCTGCATGTTTTCCTCTCCCCTGCCCTTCACTCCTCTGGGCTCATATAACTTTTTCTTGCTGCCTACAATTTGAATTTGTATAAGTCAACAGCAGGTCATGGTGACACGTCGCTCAGCAGCAGAGCGAGGTGAGGTCAGATTGAGGGTAGTTCTTCTGCCTCCTGGTAAGCCGTTCCACTAAACTTCTCCTAAAGGAAAAGGCAACAAAAGCATATTTCTGAGGCTCACGCAGAAATGACAGAGTGGAAGCTGAAGGCAAAGATGGTGTGTCTGCTCTTTTCTGAAGGAAGTAAGACGGGTGGGAGGCAGCAGGGTGGAGGGAGGTGGGGATATCATAAATCAGGCAGCCCTCCCCAAAGTGGGGATCTGTAAATCTGGGGAACGAAGGGAGGGCACTCAGCCAAATGACTCATCCGCAGTGCTCTATAAATACTGCTGTACATGGTCGGCAGGGCAGTTGCTACTGTTGGAAAAGAAACCCTGAGACCCAGACTTTTCTCGTTGGATGAAAGGTCTTTAATGATTTCCTTATCTATCTCTTTTAAGTCTAATATCTCAGTCTCAATTAACTGGCATCCGTTCAGTGACCTAATCCCAGCAGGACATAACACCAAAACTATTCTACTTGTTGGTCTTCGCTCAGTGAACCAACTGTTGGATGTGGGGAGATCTAAATATTTATCTAGCGAGGAAAAGAAAAACTTGTTTACATACCAAATCGTCTGGAAGTCCACATCAAGAGCCCCCATCAGACAAACACTCTGTGAACCAGAAACCCTGCAGTAGTGGAGGGTTCTCTTACATCTTTCTTCGCCAGACTTAGCCAACCTGATACATGTGGGGGTCAGGGGTCATGCATGGAGGTCTAAGCAGGAGGCTGATAACGGAGATTGGAATGCGACATGTCAAATGCCGATCTCCTCAATAAGGCTGTTATGGAAGCCTCTGAGCTTCCTGTCCTGTTCTTAACTCTCTCCAGCCCACCGTGCTTTCAGGCACTACAGTTGCAGGCGCACACGCTGTAATAGTGACGCATGGACACAAAGCAGGAGGAGGAAGAGGGTCTGGAATACTGTCGCCATGAGAATGAGGCAGGTATTTTAAACATACCAAAGGCATGTAGCTTATTGTTTGAAAAAACTGAACAATCTGCTTTTTGTCAGTAAAGCAATTTAAAACAATGATACACATTTCAGACATACAATAGCTCAGCAACATGAGATCTCAGAATGAACCATTACATGGTTATGGTTTGCTTTACTTTGTGCCATCGATATTTATCTTCCAATTTATTGCTTTTGTCATTATGAGCTCCTAAATAATCCAACCTGCATTACACATGTATGATAAGATCATGGAAAAAATCAATCAGATGTTGCTGCAAAGTTTAGACTGTATACATCTATTAATAAAAACAAAGGATGTATAAATACAATCATGTTCCTTTTAATCAGAAGAAAAATAACCATGCACATCAATATTTTTTCCTCCTTGCAGACAAAGGATAAAGGGTCTTGCACAACTATTGGGGAATTTTAAAAGATTGTATCGTTTCACAGCTATACATTTTAACACATTTAGCTGGGATTGCATGTGAAAGACCAAAAAAAAAAATAAAATACATTGGTGAAAGATGATGGCACATTTTTAACAGATAGAAAGACAATAAGAATTTGACATAAATATGCTCCTAAAATAGCAGTTTCTGCATTATGTCTCTATCTGCTCTGCATATAAGTTTTTAGATACAGCATTTTTCTTTGCATAATAGCTTAAATTTAGTCCCACTGAACTTCCTTACCACAAATTCTTAACTAGATATAGGTCTGAATTTAATGATAACAAAGACACATATTTTTCAATTCAACTGTTTGCATTTGCAGCCTTCATTGTTTCCTGCTGTAAGATTATTTGGCCCCATGTTTGCCATGTTTGCTACCAACATGGCAGCAAAATACCCTCATGCTACAGGGATAACCCATGCTACAAGATAGCCATGCAAACAACTGTTCCACAATACAGCCAATTCATAAAAAAAAAAAAAATGTTTATTTCAAAATTATCAAAGCCCCTTTTCACTTGATTGTAATATCAGATTTTCTTCTTGTCAGATTCTGAATCTTTATTTCACACTGAATGTAACACTCCACATTCTTCTTTAATGAACAGTGTCAGAACATCCCACACACTAGAGTCTTCCTTATGTGGGAGACCAAAGTACCCTTCAACCCACCCATTATTAAAAGCATGCAAACTACTTCCTGCTGCACCACTAGCAGTCCCTAAAACACAGAACCACATAAGGTTAGACTATTGTCACTACCTTTCAAACCCGCTTATTCTTTTATGGGTTGACTCTCAGTTTCCTTTTAACACTTTTTGTGTCTATTTCACCTAGATTCCTCATGCTGAACAAACTCAAAAAGAAAAGAAACACAAAAAAACACATCAAGTAAGTAGACTCCAAAGCCCTGCAAAGCCACAACCCAGCTCTGCTAAACCCCAAACATTTGTCTCCCTTTGGATTCCACACCTGGCCATCTGGGACACTGTGGACTGCTCCCTCTGGCTTTATTTACTAGGGGAAAATGTGTCATATAATGCAACCACTCAGCTTCATTGGCCCCCTCTCACTTACACTAAGTCTGCTAAGAACCTCTGCAGACACACTGTACCTGTTGGCACTGCATGATTTACAACCACATGCCTCCCACCGCTCTAATTTTTCAATGGCTTGTCTGAGGTTCATCTGCTGTCATTTTATTGCTTCTAAAGGAACATAACCTTCTTCAGATTATGATTCACCAAAGGCCACTGTTTTAATATTTTATAAATAAACAATATTAGTAATCGGGCAAAAAAAAAATTCTGGGTCTACAATATTAAAAGCTGACTTTTGTCAATTCAACTAAATTTTGAGTCACAGATATACAACTTTTATCTGCAAACTATTAATTATCCAAAGAAGTATCTGCAAATCTTCCGTCTCCAGTTTCTGGGTTGGACCCACGCTTGGCAACTAGGCCTTCAAATAGCTCTCATGGTAAGCAGAACTGTATAGATTCAGAGGCTCGTAATTTAAACTGACAGCACCCTCTACACCGACAGCAGGAGTTTTAGCTTCGTATCCTAACAAGCTTTGAACCCCAGATCAACCTTTTTTATATTGCTTCATTTTTTATATGAATATGAGTCATTTTAGATGTAAATTTGAACTGTTGTTCAAAATGATTTCCACTTCAAGGGTGATCAATTTAAACTACAACTTTCAGCTAAAAATATATGTTGCTATGTCAACACAACAGCTATTTTAAACATGACTAGGCTAAACTGCTACTCTGTAACGTTTTTTCATCTAAGACACTAAAACATAGCATTAGGCAAGGCAAGGCAAATTTATTTGTATAGCACAATTCAGCAAAAGACAATGTAAAGTGCTTTACATGATTAAAATATAGGAAAATAAAACAGAATCAAACCAAGTAAGAAACACAGAAACAAAAAATAAAAAAATGCAGAAACAAAAAAGAACATTAAAAACAATTGGACTAAAGAAAATAAAAAAGTTGAACTAATGATGTTTCAGTTAAACTGTTTATCTAGAACAGTCGAAGGCAATCCTAAACAAATGGGTTTTTGGTCTTGATTTAAAGGAACTCAGACTTTCAGCACTTTTACAGTTTTTAGGTTCAATTTGTGCTCCAAATTATTATTTTGGCAAGAAGGTAAATACATTTTTTTAATTAAAAAAGTTTATGATTTAAGAGTAATATTGAGATTATTTTTGTATTTTAACTTAAAGGTACAGTGTGTAACTTTTAGCGACATCTAGCGGTCAGACTGCAGACTGCAGCAACATGAACATCTCCCCCCCACCGCTTCTCCCCCCCAACAGTACGACGAGCATTACGGGACAAAATGTCTTCCACGACGTCCGCATCACCTACCTTCTCAAGTGATGAGGTTTGTTTACATAGATAATTTTACAGATAGTATTTCATTAGTCTGAGTAGGGTATAGATTTCATGTAGACTTAAGATAATAAATATACCCGTTATTTTTCTACATCGTTGTGACTTTTTGGCGATCTCGCAATCGCTAGTTTGTTGGCTCTGCGCTGCCGTAGTGCCAAGATGTCTGCCTCCATGGCTGCGAGACCCGCTCCTATGTAGTTATAAATAACGAATTCTAAGGCAACGCAAATATTAAAGTTAAGAGGCTGAGCTCATAGATGATGATAAATAACATAGTTATGTATAATATATTACATTTCTGACTGTATATCCCTGTAATTATTACACACTGTAGCTTTAAAAAAAACGTTATCTTTTATAGTGGTAAAAAAAATAAACTAGAGATGCACTAATCCGATTATCAGCCAATACCTGATACCAATCTGATAATACTGTATGACACATAAACCATATACCTTACCATGTGAGTAAAGGCATGAGGATTGACATAAACATTGCTAAAAAAAAAAAAAGGTAATAAAAACAGTTATAAGTTATCACTAGCTGCGTGTGTACTCTGCCTAATGACACAATGATGCAAACAAAGAATTGAAGTTACTAGATGACTAAATGTATTTCTGTGTTAGATATAAATAAAAAAAAGAAATTACTACATTGGATACTGGATTGATGTCATTCATTCAATATCAATCAAGCTAAATAGTTAATGTCAGATTGGATATATAATTGTATCAGCGCATCTCTAGTAAAAACAGCATGTCTTAATACTTCTAAATCTATTACCAACAATTGATAGCAGACAATAAATGAACTATAAAACAGGCATGACCAAAGACGGTCCTCGATTGCTGCTGTCCTGCAGATTTTACAACAGGACCTTTTATAAGGCTGAGGGATACTTCATAGATATTTCATCATAGGAAGGGCTACTAATACTGACCTATGAACTGGAGGGATCACCATTCACCTTAACTTCATCCATAATAAGCATATTTGTGTTGCTTCGTTTAACTCCTAATTTTCTTTATATTTTCATTTTGAAACACTCTAAATACTCTTTATGATTAAAATGATTAAATGCTCTATTTTCACAAATGGAGTATTTTTGGTGACCCCTGTTTTAGAGTTTTCCCCGCTTTACTGTAGCACTGCTGATTCTGATGATTGCAGTTCATCAAAAGCCTGTTAATCAGCTATCAATGAAAATCAGCTGTGTTGAATGAAGGAAACCCTCGAGGACAGACTTTGGGCATGACTGCTATAGAAAGACATGAATCTACTCAATTATATTTCAGTTTAGCAAAAAGGATTTTGCCAATTTGATGAATATCAGATTTTTTTTTACACTAATTATAGCTTTATAATGAAAAGGTTTTGCATTATGTTTAAGTATATAGTAGGATTAACATTAAAAAAATCACAAACTTTTTTTAACTCTACTACACATTTTCTATACGTCTTAGATTAGGGCTTTGTCATCACCACTTATGGACATTGACTTGTTGTCCTTAAAGACCTTTGTAACTAATTTGCCAGCATGCTAAGGGTCATTGTCCATTTGGAAGATCTGTTTTTGCCCAAACGTTAAGTTCCTAGATGATGTAGGGATGTTTGCTTCAATATTTCCACATAATTTTATCTCCTGATGAAATGGTGCTATCTACTTTGTGAAACCCAACCTGAAGATGCCAGTCCCAACCTTTACAGTTGGCATGGTGCTTTCCGGCTTGCAAGCTTTTCTTGAAGTTTTTTCAGAGTACAGGAAATGCCTACAAAAGAGGGGTTCTTCGTCTATGTTAGCAGTTGTAGAGTGTAATGTAGTTTTTCACTCTGTTTTTAAATGGAGGGCTTTATTCTCCCTGAGAAACCTTTCAGCCATGTTATAATAGAAGCCGTTCCACTATAAATCAGGACACTCTTGTCCTCTCAAGCCAGCATGTTTAAAGGTTTTTTGCTCTTTTTAGATTGAAAGCAGTTCACCCCAAAATAAATACAGTTAAAACTTTGCATTTCATTTTCTATTGCTGACTTTCTTGTTTGATCATTCTATTCAGGAAAAGGAATATTAAAATAAATGACCAAATGTTGCAACCCATTGTGTAATTTACAGCAGTGATGAATCCATATAAGCCTTTGCACACAGTTGTTTCGACTATAATTGACTTCAGAATTGATGGACTAAAAGAAAAGATTTTTATTTGTGTCCAAAATTAAAAGAAAAAAACAAAAACAAATATTACATTACAAAAGAAAATAAGGACTCAGATAATTTTTTTAAATCAATTTTAACAAAGAGAATTTTTTTTCCATGAATAGTTTTGAGCTGAAAAGAGTGTATTTCATGACACCCTAATGAAAATACTGGGCTAAGAATTCACTGCAGTTTTTTGCAGACCTGACAATAAACTCACTGTCTTTATTCTATGACACTGCTGTCTATAAATGCTTTTTTTTTTTTTTAGCAACAATAAAAATTAAAAAGATGAAATAGGTATGTTTTATTTCAATGTTCACATATTTTGTTTTTGTCATTTTAAAACATTTAATGCATGCTGTATCCTATCAGACATCTCCCAATGCCATCCCCCCCGGGGACAAACTCACTAACGAAACAGTGGGTGGCTGTGAAAAAAAAAAAGGTCCTCATGGTTGTTATGCCATAAAACAGTGGATTTCACATTAAGTAACATAAATCTGTTTCACGCCAAGGGGTAAATTACAGCATAATTTACTTCTTGGTTATTTTCAGTCCTTGTTTCTAATGCTCGCTTGATGCTGTAATGGCACCAGTATGTAATGTGTTGCAGTGGTGCACAGTGAAGGACACAGATTTAAGATGTGACGAGAGATATGAGGCTCCCCAGGAGCCACGTATGAGAAATGTCAGACGCAGAATGCTTGGCCCACACTCAAGGAGGATGAATAATACTGCTGCTCTACAGACTGCTGTTTATTGACCCTGAATATCCACTGGGAAAACATTAAATGTGCATGAAAGTAATACACAAGCAAACACACCCATTCATGCAATAATATACACTGATAAGGTTGGAAGGAGAAAAAAAATCAGCTTGTGCCCTTTTGGAAAATGTCAAATCATGAGGGGAATTTATCATAGAAAAGGAAGTAATAGAGACATCCCAGCGGCATGGAGGACAAGGAATACAGTTTACATGTAAAGATAGTCAACAAATCATGTTTTTCATTTTGAAAACATGGAACTTAACACTTTTTTCCTTAAGAATTGTAAATTGTGTCTCCTAGAATAATAATGCTTAGTTAAGTTAAACATGTAGTTGATTGTTAACCCAGTATGTGAGAACATATTGTCCAGCTTTTTTTTTTTTTACATCCAGTTAGATTTATTACTTAAGCGTGTGTCAAAATATTTTAGTTTCATCAATAATTATGTTTTTAATTGAAACTTTTGTCATGTTCAGATTATTGCTGTGACCACTGTGGGGTTTTTTTTTTTTTAACTACACAAGGGGTATTAAGAAGTTTGTCCAGGTGTGTTAATCTTGGACATATCCACAACAACCTTCAATATTCTCGTACTCATACTCATACTCTTACTCGTCTCTCCCACTTATCTCGTACTGGGTCATCAGAGCTGCAGACTTACTGTAGAACTCCCTCTGTCTAGACACCTCCTGAGCTTGGGAAAGCCAGAGGCATTTCCAGGGCAGCCAAGAGACATAATTCTTCAAGCGTGATCTGGGTCGTCCCCTGGGCCTCCTCCCAGTGGAACCTGCCTGGAAAATGTCTCGAAGGAGGCATGCGGGTGGCTTCCGGCAAAAATGTTTGAGCTATCTCAGAGGACTCCTCTAGGTGTGGAGAAGAAGCGGCTCTACTCCGAACTTCTCCTGGAAGACCGAGCTCCTCACCCCATCTAACAAAGTTCTAAGCCACCCTGAAGATAAGCTTAATTCAGCTGCTTTTTCAGTATATATAAAGGGTATTCAACGAAATAGACCAAGTCAACAGGTTGCATAACCATAAAATAAAAAGAAAGGGGATACAATAGTGTTGTGCAGTTGTATCTCTCACCCCTTTACTCTGACATCCCAAAATGATATTCAGTGCAACCAATTGCTGTTAAGATTTATCTTATTTAAAATCTCAGTATAAGACTTGCTATTCTGTGATGGCCTCAGAACTTGAATGGAGGATAACAAAAAAAAAATGAAGCTATGGTTGAAAACTTTGTCATTTTACAAAAAGCCATTTTGGGGATAAAAGAAACATATGAAGCAAACAGCTGACACTAACTTTGACCCCATCACCCAGGCAAGAACAATTCAGCTGAAGGATTATTTTTCTTCTGCAGGATCATGAAGGCTGGTCGGAGTTGATGCGAAGATGAATGGAGATAAAAACAGGGCAATGCTGAAATAAGAGGCTCCAAAAAACCCAAACCAGGGGTTGAAGCTTAATTGTTATAAGGACAGTAACTGTAAAGATGGCTCTGTTAAAGTTCAGATCTTAATTAAGTCTTTTTTTATTTACATCAAATCTAAAAGGGTGAGCATTTTTTACACATGGATGTGAAGTTACAATGGCCTGGTGCTAATACCGCTCACAGTTTAAAGCTGGGTATAGAACTGAACAGAATGAACAAAGGTTGTCTTTGCATTAATATTAGCAGAGCTTTAGCATTAGAAGCTTGGATAACAGAAAGACAATTTAAGGATGTTTATAAGGACTATTTTTAAATATTTTAAGTTGGATAGAGAGATGAGAGGATGGGGAAGCTAAATAAAACAAAAACAATCATTACAGAAACAACATTTGAATCACTAAGTGCCTGATTCACCCTTAGCCTGCTCCAGAGCAGCACAGTTAGCATCACAATAAAGCAAAACACAAAATTAAAACAAATAGAATTGTTTTATTTGTCTAAATACATGCTCTAACTGTTTGTCTTATATCTAGAAGGGATGCAGTTAACGGTTATACAAGCAGCAGCTAATATTTTACTTTAGGCCAATGGGGTTTTAGAAGATGCAGGCTTTTAGTAAGCCACTATACTACACTACAACTGGGCTGCCATTTTGCGGTGCCAGTGTGGGATTAAGGGTCTTGCTCAGAGACCCAGAGTGTGGGAGTGGGGCTCGAACTCAGAACCTCAGGATTCCTAACTACTTGGCTGCTGCTTCCCAAAGCATGCATTAGTGTGAATGGTTTTGCCTAAGGATCCACGCTGGCAGCTCACTCCCCTCAGCTGGGATATGAATCCAGACTTCCTGTTTGCAGGACGGGAGACTTACCACTAGAGCTAGCCGGCCGCTGACCCGAGCATTGATATTAAGCAGTAGTTTCTAATGGTTTGCAAAATATAAAGCATTATTTGTTGTAGTGAAAAACTGTACTTTGCAATATAATGATTGCAAATTACTGTATTGACAGGGCAAAGGGAATTATAATTTAAACATCATTTATAATATATATGTAGGCTGTAATAAACAGGAAAAGGTAAACTATTATAGCTACATTAGCATGTTCTCCAACAGGTCACTGAACCTTTATAGAGGCTCAACTCGAGGCCACACACATTCACATTAGTGCACAAAGTAATAGCAGCGTACATTATCTAATAACTAATATGGCACTGGGGTTCATTTGAAAACTACATCCATAAATCCTTATAGTTAAATGTCAGCATGACAGATTCATGTTTTGTGTACTACTCCATAGGGGCTTCCTTAACCTCAAATACCACTGTCTGCAGGGTAATATTCTCTGTCTGTCATAATCCTACCAAACAAGAAGAATAACTGCTTGGAGAATTAAAGGCCTCCCATGCTGGTTTGTTTAATTTAAATTCTTCCATTCATCATTTAATCATCAGCTTCAGGTGCTTTCAGTCATCCTGCCAGCTAAAGCAGACTATGAATTACCTTGTTCTTAAAAACAGCACCCTTGTCTGTGGTTAGAAAATTGCATGTCTGTCTGCTGTCTTATCAGTCAGTTATAGTCATGAGGTCAATACAATTAAGGGGTGTGTAATGAGAAGACAGGTACATTTAGTGGATGAAATCTACATGTGAATATCTATTTATTTCTTTTTTTTTACTGGACTTTTGCAATATAAGTAGTCAAGGTTGCAAGTTTTTCTTTTGTCCATGCTAAAAATATTTTGTACATTTTTAAAATCCAAATCTTTCCATTTCGAGTATGGTATGCCTCCAAAACAATTTCAAGCTATTAATTATAAACACATTTCTACCACAGGTGGTAGTAAACTAAGGGCCTGATCTTCAAAGAGGGGCTAAATTGCAGGTGCAATTTTTTTTTAGTATGTGTAATAACTGGGCATTGTTGGTATTGGTGGGACCTACTGTAAAAGGTTGCTTCTCCAATGTTAAGAAAGTTTGGTTTGCGCATCTAGCAAACCAAACTGCTCTTCTAGCAGTTTGAGATCATCTATAAAAGAAAGATGAGGTTCAAAGTCATGGAAATGTAGGAAATAATGTTAGCTGTTTAAAAAAACATAATAATAATAATAAGGAAAATAGGAAATAATGTCCATAGAGGACCAGAAATAGGTAAGCTATCTTGAACATGATGAACAAAAGTAAAAATTAAAATTAATTAAAAAATATATGAAATACCTTAAAACATGAGAAAGTTGATTTTGTATAAGATATTCTAAACATCCAGCTGGTCTTAACAACAGCTTGACTTGATGTACTGCGCAACAATGTGTTCAAGAATTGATTAGATAAAACTCGTAATACTAAAAAACCCATAAAGCCATCAGCAATCCCTAGCAGCGACTGAACAGGGAAAGACTTCATTTCTAACTTTGACACAATTCCTCATGTTAACTCCATTGCTGCTTTTTTGTTAGATTAATAACCAGTTGGTTTCCTGTATTTTCTTCCATTTGTTGTCATGTTTCTTTTCTCCATTTCTTGTTTTTTAAGATGTTTTAGGAGAATCATTGCAGCCCACATTTTTGGGAAAATTGAAACAATTCTTACATGTGTTACATTACTGATATTTTTTTTAAGGGGGTATTTTGCTAATAGTTTTTTTTTCTTATTTTATTGTCATTTTTTCTTATTTTATTTTTATTCTTACGGTCTTATTCTTATTTTTTTCATCCTCTGTGGTGTGTTTTTCTACTGATGGCTTGAAGCCTTTCCCCTTTTTGTTCCGTAATAAACCATCTTTTTGCTCTCATAAAGTTCTAAATCATCATTACCAAATGGTCAGCCAGTGGCAGGGAAGAGGAACCATACATCTATTTTATGTGTGTGTTGTTCAGATTTACGACAGGATCCTTGCATATTAAAAAATAAAACATAAAGTTGCACAAAAAAGGGATGATTTGTGATGTGAGAAATGCTTTTTTCTTCAACGTAACTCCTTTGCTGCACTATCCACATCCTAGAAAAACAAAAGTTTCTCTGCCATTCAGATTCAGATGTTGAATATAAAATGCTATCCTGAAATAAAAACTCTCTTTACATGTTAGGAGTTGCAAAACTGTGAAACAGTTGTTATTAGTATGTTATAAATACATTTCATTTTTAGAAATAATTATAAATATAAAAAATTCTATTCAAAAACTCATGCTTTCATATAATAAAATTAAATAATCTATACTTCAAAAAGTCATTAAATGAATTTAAAAATAATCAAGTGAATTATAGAAAGTTTTGTGTTGTTATAGTTGTAATGCTTTCAGTTAACTTGAAAATAGTTTTTTAAGAAAAGAAGTAAGTAAATTCCTCTAAAAAAGAAAACAATATTGCTTGATCAGTGTAAATAAGTAATGCAAATTGCTGCCTTATCATTCTATGAAGAAAGAGAATATTTAAATGGTGAATGGTTCTTTGTTTGAATTTATGTATTTCAAATTACCATCCAACAGAACGACAAAAGGAGCTATAAAAAAAGAGACTGTATTGATTAACAATATCAAAAAAATTTTAAAAAGGCCACATTTTGTCAAGCTGCTGTTTTTCCTTTAAAAGGATCATATCAGCTTCTCAGATAATAATGTATTTCTGAAATTTTCAAACATAAAAATCAGCACTACGTACTGAAATATTTTTCTGTATGAATCTATCAACATCTATATGTTTGTTAAAATGCTGTACACTGTAATGTTTTATCTTAATCTTTATATTCTCCTGCTTATTACTGTTTTTCAACATGTTAAATGTAACTTGGTGCTTTCTAATAATACAGTTGCATTTAGATATAAACATAAAATGAAATATTCCCCATTATTGAGTCATAATTTTTGTCTTGAGAGAATCTCTTTGAAGTAAAAATAGAATTATATCACATTTGTAAAATAAATTCTATGAAGGAAGCCCAACTGGGGAACATTAGTCAGGAATCCAAAATGTATCTAATAGTGTCTGGGAATGATTGTTATGCCTTAAACCAGTACCAGTCAAAACTGATGGTCACTACTGCTGTCTCCTGTGCAGTGATCTAGAACTAAGGAGCAAAAAAGAAAGAAAAAAAGAAAAACAAAAACCGCAACAGCTGCTATACGTTTAATAACCACATGAGGACAGTATAACCTTTCTTTTCCAATCATCTCTAACTTCTTCTTACTTTCTATTCAAAATGGAAAGAAATATTAAGCTTTATTGTCTATGCTGTGGAGCTTTTCGTGCTGGTAAATAGTAAAGCTTCCTGTTTAATTTTTTAAAATCACTTTTTTTGCACTAAAATCAACAAATGGGGTTTGATACATTCATATTCCTTATCATTTGGCCAGCCACCTGTGTCTTGGAGTACAGTGACACTGAACCAATGATATGGGACTAACAAAAAAAAATACTACATTAAACTAAAGCATATTGTTTATTGGAGATTGGGTAAAAGTAAGCACATGTTTTTTTTTTTATTAAAATCACATCAGAGAGTTTTCTGCAATCACTTTCAGTCTATTTCATTAGGAAAGTTCAGATACAGCCTGCATGAAGATATAACAAGTATTTACTAATCTTAAATAGGTACAGTTAAAGAAAAGTCTAAGTAGTGTATGGACGTGTTGTTTGCTTGCTGTGATGTTCAAAGTTGATCTGGCTGTATTGATGCGATCTGGGCATTTTTCAGAGGATTAAGCTGGAGATAAAAGTGCAAACTAAAACCTGAATGGGTGGATGCTGCGATGTGTAGTTCAGATAAGATAAATATCAATTTTACTTACTTTACATCCCCTCTGAAAGGTATAGTCTTGCATTCTTTTCTAAGCATGCACATGTCAAAACATGTCTGCATATAAAAACAATGCAGCAGCACAAGTCTCAGTTTAGTGGAGCAAAGAAAAGAACCATTATACCGTTATTGTTTTATTGCACAGCTAAAAATATGGACAAGATCTTGCTTCCAGTCTAAATATTGTTTGCAGTGTGGTTAGTTCTGTACATTTATTTCTGCAGTAGACACACACCAACCAGATGTGTGCAACCAGAGAGCCGTGAACAAGAGGTTGGAATAAAAATAGCAGCAGAGAGCTCTCAGTGCAGGTGAATGAAATAGCAGAAATGTTCTCAGTGAAATTTGTCAAAACTGTTTCTGTGTTTTTCCAGTTCATAGAGGAGAACTGGTAAAAAGAATTCAGAGTTTTTTAATCCAAGGAGCAAATTTCCTAAACCCCAAAGCAGAAGGCAGATACTCATGTTTAACCCCCCAACATACACACTCACTACAAGACAACAGACCTCTTATACAAGCTCCTCCCCCTCGCCACCCATCAGTATGAGTAGTGTTCTAAGTCTTCTACCACATTTAGAGCAGTGGAATAAATGTGTTGCGCTTTTCCCTCATTAGCTGTCTTTACACATCTTAAATGTGTTCCTTAGCTCCCTTAGAATAAGCCATGTTCTGGTATTTCCATTGGTTTGAGGGACCAGAGGGTGGGGCAGATTTTAGGATTTTCTTTGGTCTCTCTTTAAGTCTCTAGCAGAGAAATGTTTTAAACATGCAGGTATTCAGCAGAATGCTGTGACAAAGCTCCATCTTTGGCAATCCGAAGGAGAAATTTCCATAACTGCTGTGATTATATTGAATGTCAAATAGCCTGTTTAGAAACCAGACCAATCATTTATCATGAATGCTATTTAAATATCAATTCTGTTGAGTTTTGAGTCTGTTCTCCTAAATCGGAACAATAATGCAATATACTGCTAATGCCAAGAAAAAAAAAAAAATGTAAATATTTAACTAAGGTTTTGGAAACCTCAAATTTTGTCATGAATAATCTCTATTCCAGTAAAATAACAGCATCCCAGTAACCCATGCTTCAGGTTGGATTCAGCTAACCGCTGAAAATAATATAGTTTTATTTTCTTACAAAGATTTAGCAGTGTACTGAAAAGGGCCTGTTTACCAATCCTCCACCTGTAGTTGACGGAGCTATCAAAAAATAATTTAGAGGTCTTTGAGATTTTCTTTTGCTTTTTTTGACTATTTTCTTTGTTTTTTTATTGTTCTATAGGTTGACCCTTCTTTAGTTCACTTTAGTTCGATATTTTTGATAACGCCTGGTGTAAAAATCATTTTTATCTTCAAAAGGACTGAGTAAACACTATGATTAAGAAAGCCTGGTATAAATTAATTTATTCTAACATGAACAAATTTATTTTGGTGTTTTTTATAGCAATAGCACATGACTGGGCCCCTTTAAACCTTCTAGTAATTTATTCTTATTTCTCAGTTACTCCTGCTCGGTCTGTGTTTGTGTTTCCTTCATAGTTTCCTAACTTGTTCCTGCATTTCTTTCCATTTCCATTCATATTTATTTCAGTATTAAACCCTCAGACACAGCCACCATCCAATTAAGCTCCTTCACTCCACCTGTTGCCTTGCCATCACACTCACGCTTCCCACCTGTTCCTTCTGGTATTTAAGCTCCCATTTCTCCTTCACTTCTCACTGCACTGTATTGCTTATAATCATGCCTTGCCTGATTGATCTCAGTGCCTGTTTTTAACAATAACTACTTCATTTTCCTTATGACAATCTTATGTTTTTGGATTTTGATCATGCTATTCAGCTCATTGTGCTGCTCATATGCCTGTCTATCTTTATTGTCCTTCCCATATTTGATTCTTATATAAAAAGGAAAGGTATTTCACTAAAAAACATAATATAAATGAGCAAGGCTTGTGATGTTTCTGTTCTGTGATAGTGATACAAACACCTCAGTAAATATATTAAACCACAAAGATGCTTCTTGTTTACACCTATTGCTAAGTATTGATCTGGGCTTAGATATTTTTTTATATAAAGCTAGCTTCATGCAGAGTTTCACTTCCTTTACTGAAACCCGTCAGCACTGCACCTGCAATGGGTCAGAGCTTTTAAAGTTGGTAGTTTTTAAGAGGCTAAAAAACATTTCTTAAAACTTCCTGTGCCATCCTTGAAGACAATTATATATATAAATACATAGATATCTATATAGTCCTTCCTGTTGTTGGAATTTACACTTTTTAGGAAAGAAAGTGTAAATTCCTCTACCAGCCACAAACAAAAACACCAAGATGCTTTCAAGAAAACATAACACACACGGAGTGTGTTTGCATCAGCTCTCCTCACGGAGTGTAATAAAGCCTCTTTTTATTTGCATACCACAAGTTTCGTGCCGCATCATGTGAGAGGTTGTCTTGTTACTTGTGTGTTTGTGTCGTCTGTGATGCATTCAGTTGGTTACACCCGAGGAGACAGACTAATACAAAAAAAGAAGCAAGCGGTTGTTGCTCACATCCTGTGTATTCTGCTGGGCTTTTGAACCACTAAATACACTCAAACCAACATACACGGCTGATTTAACATCATCCATTAAGGAATTTAGACATATTTTACGTTACAAAGATATTTTTTCTTGCCCTAAATGGGATAAACCAACATTTCTTTATCTTGTAATCTAATTGTTTCTAAGCTGTTTGTGCTGTCTTGCCGACATATTTGTAGGTTTTCCATGTTACAGCCACACACATCTAGCTATCTTACAGGATTTTATGTGATGAAACCATAGGAAGTGTGATGTAATTGTGAAAAATTTTTTTATATATAAGTGGTACATTTGGATTCAGTTGGTATTACTTTAAGTGTAATCTAATGCAACCAAAGACCTTTCAGACAGCAAACTGTGTTTTCTGCCCTGTAAAATAAACATATAATAAACATATAACTTGATAACCTGATGTCAGCATTAATCCATCTATTCAGAGGTTTATTTAAAAAAAAAACATTAGCGAAAACAAAGAGCAAAAGAAAACAGTTGACATTAGTGATTCATTTTAAGGTTCAGATTGCTGCTCAGTGAAAGCCAAAGGCTTTGAAAATATAATCCTACCTGGAATGACCTCGAAAAGAAATTTTCCTCCTTCATCTCCGCTGGTTGGATGTTCAGAAACTTTGTTTCCTGGTAAAGGAATGACCCCCTGCAGAGAAGAAAGACAGACTCATCAGCAACATATTCCTCCTTTTTGACAACTAAAGGAAGAACTGCCCTTGAGTTTTTATTGAAAAAGTCCAACCTCAAGTCTCACAGCAGCCGGTTAAATTTGTGCACCTCCAGTAAGAGCTGCATGACTTGAATCACAGACAGAACAGTCTTTTTTTAACAACCCAGTATGGTTCTTGAGCTAAGCAGGTTTTATCTCCTATCTTGATGCGAGTGTTTTTGAAAAATGCAATTTTTTCAATCTAAATGACGAGTTTTATTTTATTGAAGTGTTCCAGGATGCTTAGAGAATTTAAATAACAGTGCTTTCACATTAGTTAGTCTTCTCCTGTAACTTACTTTTAAAAAGTATGACTTGATGTAAAGAGACTGTGAACAGAAGTTGGTTTTAAAACAAAGAGCAGTCAAATATGAAGAATTGATAACTTCAAAGAAATATTATGGTTTCATTTTAAGCATTCATGGACACGTAAAGCACTATTTTCAAAATAAGAGTGTGGCTGTGTGATGATGTTTGAAGCTGAGTGGACCTTCAGTATACTGTAGCTTGGAAATTGACCTCCGTTTCTCTCTTTGGTCACAACATCTCACCTCCTCCTTAGTTTGAATATGTCTTTGATTTGTTTTTATTAAAGGTATAATGAAGAATGATCTTTTTCTGGGAGTATTATCAAAATAAGTGGTCCTCCTAATTGTCAATCATTCTGGTGGTAAGTTTATGTAAGGCCGTCCTACGTGCTCGTCCCCATTTTCACTTACCAGTGGTGAGTCTCACATAGTGGAGAAATTGCAAATCTCGTTTTGGAAAGTAAGCTTGTGTGATTGATGCAAACAGCAACTTTTAAACAGAGAGTGCAGGAGAAATGGACTTATGCATGCTCTCGCACATGAACAGGGTTGTGCATGTGCATTTTTTTTTTAAGTGGAGAGGGCATGTCCTTTCAAAAATTCACAAAAATCCTCCTCCACTATACTTTTAATGTGTCAAGGTCTCACATCTGAATGCATTTCTGAACTACAATATTTAACAAAGGTGTTTGAGGATCCTTTCAGATTTTTAAGATGCAAAAAAATGGAATGATAAATGATCCGTTATTGCATAGTTTAATACTACATTTAAGATCTGAGAATAGCGCCTGTTTTAGCCTTTTGCAAGATACAAAGGCGATTGAATTACATTTCCTAATTCTTTACCTTTCTTCTCCCTAAAACAAGTTACCAACTCTAAGGAATGTTCTTCAACCCTCCCCCATGCAATCTATAAGCAAGGTTTATCTTATTGATGGACACTTTCATGAAGGTCGCAATAATGCAGTCATCTTAACATATTTACCAGACCCATTATGGAAGAATCAGCAAAAATATAACTTTATTACCAACCTTAGTGCATGGGTGCAGCATCTGACTGTGATTACATTGACCTCTATCTGGGTTAATGCTAATGCAGACAAGATGTGCCTAGGTGACAACTTTAGTACTGAGGACTTACACACATTATAAAGATCTGAGAAGGAGTCAGTTTCCTTTTTAATGGGCCATAACTGTGACAACCAGGAAGTAGAAACCCTACCTGAGGCCCCAGATGAAGTGCTTAAAAGGCTGCCTGCCATAAAGACGGGACCAACATGCTCCGGAGTGTAGGAGAGTAGAGGGAGAGGACCTGTTTGATGTGCCAGCCAGGAAGAGAATCTGCAATGCTTTAAGTCCGGAATAAAAGGAGCGTTCAGGGCTGGTTTTCATTGAACGCAGATCTTTCTAGTGCTTCACGCTGAATCGATTGGAGGGGAACAGCATATAACTTCAAGGCAGCCTTTTCGTGAGGGAGACAGATTTTAAGGATGTTCGTCTTTCGTGCTTGTGCTCAAAGTAGACATTTAAGGCTGTGTGTAGCCCCTGACAAACTTCAAAACGACATCCCAACACATATTCCTTTGCTCTGTTTAAAGCCACAGTCACACTTTCCATATGCCCTCTGGCCTGTTGTTTGCAACCACAGGCAGGGTAATATTTACTCACTAAACCCAGCCCAACCCAACCGTTTCCTTTTCATTTTGTTTTTTTTGCATTTTCACGAGTTGTTAAGTAAGATGAGGTCATTTCAGGAGTCTGTTTAATGACACAGACCTCATTATCTTTTATATTCAGACAAAAAAAAATAAATAAATAAAATCCCAGGCACACATGCACAGGAGTCACAAGTGGATCAGAAACGTTACATAGAAAAAGGACAGAAGCAGAAACAGGGGGCTTTTCCCAACTGTGTTGGACACAAAACATATTTTTTCTTGTTTTTTTTTTTAATTCAGGACTTTTTAAGATATGCTCACAAGATTGTCTGACCAGCAGACTCAAAGTACAGCAATTATATCCCCATGACATCTATTTTGCTAATAAAACATCTAACATTTTGATACAGTATTCACAATTGGTTAAGGTATCTCCATTGCCTCTGCTTTGCATAGGTGAGACTACCCTCAATAGTGACATATGCAATGCTTATATATGTTTATGTACCTATACATTAATTGCCCTCAAATAAACCATTAATCATGAAACATAATTTCATTAATAAATATCAATGAGATTTAATGTGATAAAGTACAAAATATAGTATGGTATAAATCAGTCAAGAGGGCTCTAATTTCTTTCTTCTGAATGTAATCTGAATTTTTAGGGGTCTCAGAGTAAAGGGGCTAAATAAAATGCTTTTTACACTGTTCAGACTACTGTTTAAATATTTTTTTAAAATATGTTTCCTTTTCTCTTGGCCACGGTTCATAAGTAGCTGTATAGTGGCAACATATAATCAGGGTCGGAAGGTTTGAATTCTTCTGCAAAGGTACTGCAGATTCCTTCCTAAACAGTTAGTTAATTTTGATTATTTTCTTTTCTAGGAGCTGAAATGCAAAAGTCATGCTTAATCGTTCCCTGTGATTTTTAAAACAAGCCCTGTGGAGTTAATGCATGATCTAGATGTACATTTTAGCGAGCATTTATTGTCTGAAGAAGATCATCTTTCAGCATAAAGATACTAAATACGACGTGGTAGATGTTATCAAGCAAGCAAAATGTATTTGGTCCAGGTGAGCCTGGGCTGAGGGAAAGATGGAGCAGGATATTCTATCACCTGGTACCTTTTAACAGTTTCATCACAATTAGAAATTATTTATGCACAACTTTAGGCTGTTAAGGCTCGCTAGCCTTAAAAGTATTGTGGAGGATGTTCTTTTTCAGGGTGGATCATATAAATAAGTGGTCCTCCTAATAGTCAATCATTCTGGTGATATGTTTAGATAAGGCCATCCTACCTCATCCCCATTTTCCCTTACCGGTGGTGAGACTGACATAGTGGAGAAATAGCAAATCTTCTTTTGGAATCAAGCTTGTATGCAAACAGCGATGCAAACAGCAACTTTTAAACAGAGCGTGCACGGAGGAAATGGGATTGTGCACGCTCTTGCAAGCGTTTAATAGACGTTCCCTCTTGGCAGTTGGTACAGGGTTGTGCATGTGCATTTTTATTCAAAGTGGAGAGGGCTTGTCTTTGAAAAAAATCATGAAAATCCTCCACTATACCTTTAGGTCTTCTGGAGGAATTTACTTATTCGCCAATTTAAGAGTATTAAAATGATGGATTTTTTTAAATATTTATTTGCTTTTCTTTATTTCAAATTTATGGATAAGATGAAAACATTTAAAGTCACAATTCTAACATAAATAAATTACAGAAATATTAGGAAAACTTTTCGTGTTGTGTCATGTTGTTATAGCTGTATATATGAAGTGATAATTTTGGGTATGATGATCTCATGTTTTATTTTTTTGTTTGTTGTTCAGTCATTATGACTCATGACTCGTCTCTCTCCATGAGTTTTTGAATTTGTTTAACAAATATAAAAAGAAATAAAAAAAAAACACACAATAATAAACTAAAGTTCAGAAAATCTATGTGATATTTAGCAAGGCTGGCATTAGAAACAGCTCCATTCCCATTTTAAAAGATGTTTTAAGTTTGCTGCAGTTTTTGAGACACTACTGGAAGAATGTCATACATTATTTTACAAACTAACCACTCCGACATGTTTAATCACAAAGCACTAGCCCTTTGGGTCTCTTTGGTGATTCAGAGCAGGTGTAGAACTAAAATTTCTTGGCTAAAAAAGAATTTCCTGCTTCCTGAAAATGCTGACAATGAAACTAGATGAGCACCAAACAACTGTCTCCACATTATTAGGTGGTGGATCACATAAACAAGTGATATATCATTGCAATCAGTGTAATAAAAAAACAATCTATGCATAATGATGTGGATATAGCCTTGATAAAATAAAGAAGAGTTATTTATTTTGGAGGTAAAACTAATGTCAGGCTGCATACAGATAAAATTCACAGCAGACCTTGGCTGTAACAAGTAATTTGTTAGATCAATAAACCTTGGTGGATTGATCAGCTCCTTTTCATCCAGTAATTACTGTTCATTTGCATGACCTTTCAGACAGTAACCTAACTCAATAGGGATCTCAGTCCTTGTTTCCTTTCTTATTTATTGTATGCAAGTATGCAGTCCATATGTTGTTTCTCATTTCACTTTTTTAAATTAGTACTCTGAGCTACTCTAAAGAGGTCAGTTAATCATTAAATGAGATGATGTAAACAATTTACTATGAAAACCACAAGGGATCCATCCATCCATCCATCCATCCATCCATCCATCCATCCATCCATCCATCCATCCATCCATCCATCCATCCATCCATCCATCCATCCATCCATCCATCCATCCATCCATCCATCCATCTTCTTCAGCTTATCCAGGGTCGGGTCACGGGGGTAGCAGCTTCAGAAGGGAGACCCAGATGTCCCTCTCCCCAGCCACTTGGGCCAGCTACTCTGGGAATCCCAAGGCGCTCCCAGGCCAGCCAAGAATCATAGTCCCTCCAGCGTGTCCTGGGCCTCCCCCTGGGACTCCTCCCTATG